ACTTTTGAATTGATGAGAAAATTCTTTTTATTTTCTGAGAATTTAGGTTTGAATCTTGGTTATGATAGGACAGATTTCTCTCTGCAAAACTGTCTAAATTAGTCAAAAAACAAAACAGGATTTACTTGTTTTCTCATCTGTGTGTTATTAAGAATTACTATAATTCATATAAAAATCATGAATATTTATTTCATTTTGACAGCTGAAATAAAATTATCTTGAAAGGTAAGGTCTATTTTGTCTGTTTAGGTATACAACTCTGATTAGGGTGGTCTTGAACATTTTACATGAATTGTTGTTCAAGTCAAAAACTGCTTGCAGTTGCACTGCCAAATTACGCTATATATAACTTCACAGGTAAACCAGAATCCATACGTGAGCACCTCATGGGTAAAAGTCATGCATGAGCATGAAAATGGTAGACCTAGTTTTGTTTTCTATTGCACAGGGCTTTGTAGACTAGAACAACTCCGCTCTTACTGACTGTCTCAAGACGGTCTCATGCATCTTAGCAGATTTAAATAGTAGCCAAAATATGAGTATTTAATGCAATCATCATACTTAAAAAGAAAATATACAAGTAATAAAAAGAGGAGCAGTGCTGCTTCTGGAGAGAGCAGCCTTTCAAAAGAGAAAAAGCTGCAGAAGGGAGGACAATGTCACTACTTAGTCATAAAGAAGCATTCTGCCTTAATTTGAAAGGACCTGCCTAATGAGCCATGCTTGGTTCCCTTAGACAAATTTATTACTCTCACTTAACATGGATAGCATTATTAATTAGACAAGCAGGAGTCATACTGTCCTGTCAGCAGAGATGCTGGATTACCCTGAAGCTGGGTGTAAGCCACTGACTTTCCTCACAGCCCATCCTTCAGCAGGACTACATTCCCTCCAGTAGGGAATGAGCATACTGCTAGAAGTTTTGTGCCTGTTCCTCTTCGGAGAGTTTTATTAATTCAATTTGAGAATATTGGGGCAAATGGTACAGCTAATCATTAACAATATGAAAGAGTCCTCAAAAAACCAACACGAAACTGGCTCATGTCACTGACTAGTGAGTGCATATAAAAATGCAGGGTCATAGCAGATTCTTAAATGGGTAGAATGACATTTTATATTTTAGCTGAAATAACAGTTTGGTAAAAGTTAATTAATGAAGATTCCTGCTTAATCCAGACCTGTTTTTGAGACTCCTGACAAGTTTATCTTAAATTTGCAGATGCTTTTTTACAATTCTCTCTTGGATATCTAAAAAAAAATATTTTTGCTTTAAATTCCTCTCTTTATAAGGACATTTGGATACCTGTCTTTTAACTCTTGCTACATATTGTTTCCTGAAGTTATCAATTGTAAAGATGGAAACATGATTAGATCTATAAATTTAAAATACAGATTTTAAATGCTTGAAAACCAATGCAAAACTGAAGGAAGATCTTGCAGAAAAAGAAGCAGAAGCAGTACTAAAGGGAACCTTGCCCAAAAAATATTTTTACAAGTAGGATGGAATACCACTAACAAGTAAAGAAGTACCTCATATGTATATCAGCAATTTTAGAAAAATTGAAGCAAATTATTTAAATGTATTTGATCTAAACTTGTATTACCATGGACTTAACCATAGCTATTGATATCAAAATCACAAGTACATGCATTAGAGCTAATCACAAATTGAAATTATTATTCTGTCAAAATGGTTTTTTCTGTGGAAATGCTGAATTTTGTTTTCATTCCAAATAAGAATGAAATAGAATATAAATGCCAAAAATAAATTACTACATTATGTGTGTTGTTTGTCACAATACGATGTAATATTTGACATACTCTAAAATATTTATATGTAAAACACTGAGGGGAAATGCTACCTAGGACTGATTAGATCTTTTCTAAATCAAAGCATGCTCTCATTTTCATATACAAATAGCAAAAACCTGAATAAATATTGTAGACCCCATTTAGCTCTTCTTTCTCATTTCATCAGCTAGGTTTGATGTAATGCTTAGTAAATCTACTATCAATATTGCTATCAATGTTGATAATAAAATACATGGGCTTTTTTTAATCACTTCGAAGACTCTTCTGAGATTTTTGCATTTTTCAAACACTTTTTGAGTTCCATCTCAGTAAAACTTTTAACATTTTGTTTTTCTCAGTCTACACAATGACTCTTCCCTTTTTTGTAGACAGCATATTCTTCTCAATAGGTAAAAAAAACGCCTGTAAGAATTGAGGAGTCTAACAATGTAATTCAAAAGCACAAAACCTTAACTGTGCCCAGATAAACAGAGATATGCATTCTAGAACAGAGCACTGCACTAAGCTCTCTCCCATTTAAAAGCAGGGGTTGTTACTTCAGTTGTTTTAATGACAGTGATTCCTGTGATCCCACCTAGTGCCATAGTCATGTTTAAAAAAAGATTTAAGAGTTTGCATTAGAAATAATTACTGATTATCGTCCAGAATAAGTAAAGATGAGTTCAAAATATTTTTAGTTTCTTCTGAGGTTACGGCTATGAAGAACTAAAGCCTTCTCCAGGAAATACATGTATCTTACACATGAGTCTTGTCAGACTCCATGCTGAATAGGTCCCTTTGGTTACAGACCAACAGGCCTATTCAATCAGATGTAGCTCTGGAAACAGTGAATTAAAGAGCCTGCTTAAGACCTGTTAGACAAGAATTGCTTCCAGAGTTCTTATACTTCTTATAGTATAAGAAGTATTTTTCTTCCCTGGAGGAGTGAGGGTCCAATAGTCATCCAGGATTGGGGATTTTTCAGCCTGGAAAAGAGAAGGCTTCAGGGTGACCTAATTGCGGCCCTTCAGTACCTGAAGGGAGCCTGTAAGAAAGATGGAGAGGTACTATTTGCAAGAGCATCTAGTGACAGGACAAGGGGGAATGTCTTCAAACTCAAAGACAGTAGGTTTAGATTGGAAAATCCTTTACTGTGAGAGTGGTATGGCAACAGGTTTCCCAGAGAAGTTGTGGATTCCCTGTCTCTGGAAGTGTTCAAAGTCAGGTTGGACAAGGTTTTGATCAACCTGGTCTAGTGAAAGGTGTCACTGCCTATGGCAGAGGGTTGGAACTGCATGGTTTTAAGTTCCCTTCTGTAATTCTAAGTTTTATGTTGCTACACATATCTGCAAGGTTAAACATTTGTCACCCTGCTGCTGCTCTGTGCACTTTGGTGCTATGTGTGCAATGGAGCATAGGTGTCATTAACAATAATCTAGACATTATAACCTCTTTTTGAGTGCTGGTCAGAACATACTGTGAGCAGAATTAACACTTTAATTTTAGCAGAAGGGCCCGAGTGGAAGGGGAAAAAAATGGAGAAAAAAAGATAGAAAAAAGAGACATAAGTATTTGTCATACGACATAGGTTATTATTCAGCTACATCTAAGTGATTCAATTACACAGTCCTCTGAACATTGGAAGAAAAATCTGTGAGAATAATAATTATTTTTTTTTAAATACTGTTTGTAAGATCGAACAGCCTGTGTTCATGCTGATTTTTCCACACATGACTTAATGCTATTGAGCTACTAAGCTTAGGACTTGATGGAAGTAAGTAAGGAGATTATTCCACAGCGACTGGTCATTTTAAAATCCTAGCAACTTGTTTTTGTCATGGTGATTGCAAAGAGAGGGTATGTTGCCTCCATAGCTGATTCTTCTAGAAATTGTAAAGCAGACTTGAACCAGAAGCATTCATGAATGCATGCTGTACTGGCTTTCTTGAAGAGGTCTGTCACACGTCTACTGAATGAATAGAAAGGGGAAAGTAGTGCATGATCTACCATTGCCTACTTGTATGCCTCAGAGTAATAGTTTCAGACAGGTTCCTGGATTTTGTATTTCCGTTCTCAGTCAGCTTTAGGCTCCTAGTTCTCTGCCCCAGGGAGAGATGACTTGAAAAATGTAAGGTGCTCTTCCAGCTTGTATCATCTGATTATGCTCCCCTTGGTCTATTCAAGTTGTGTATAAGTAGAAAGCAATACTGTCCTGTAAGTCTCCTTTACTGATCTTAACTGTGTCTTTTGCTGTGGGGTAGCATTGTAGAAGTTGCACACAGGTTACTTATAACCAAATTTCCAGATGTATTGGCAAGGACAGCTGATGAAACTGTGACTTGTGGCAACTTCTTTGGCACGGCAGGGATAAAAATTAATTAAACTTGTTTCTGCAAGTGTATTATTCACAAGGACAAATTGTGTGGCAGAATTTTAACATAAAGCATCCCATACTAAATAAATGAATAAATAAATATTTGAAAACATTTTAGTGAATGGATTTCCTGATTAATTTGCTTATTCCTTTGTTTAGTACCAATTACAAATGCTAGCAATCATTCTTAAATATTTATAACCTGATATTCGTTGTGTGGTGTTATGTTGAAGGTAAAGCCAAAAGTAACTTTCTCCTCCAGGTCCAAAGCCAGCAACCTAACCACTGGCAGCCACTGTAGTCTCTACTGGCAGTATCCATTTAAAGAAAAATTCTAAGTTGAATTTTGTAAGCTATCAGAAATATGAACTTATCTATAGGGAAAATAGGGCAGATGGACTTTTCACACTGCTTAAACTAGGTCTCTTTCTTCCTTTGACCAAAGTTCCAGAGCAGAGTGTGTGAGTCAAATAGGTCAGAGAAGCTGATATTTGTGTTCTTCATGTGAATAGAAAGTGGACACCTTTTATAGAATTTATCTAATCTAAAAGTGTATAGCTGATAACATTAAGAGAAGTGATTTGTTAAAATATTCAAAGTTATGCCAGAGATATACTGTGTGCTTCTGTACCATTCTGCATATAGGTGTCCTGTTTTAAATTCATTGAAATGTCAACATTTAGACCAAAACCCCAGTTTTCAGTTTCTCAGCTCTCAGTAGTTACTACTAGCATTAAAAATGCCATTTAAAAATGCTGGGTTTGAGGCATAGATGTTTGCAATTAAAAATATTAATTGATGTATGCCAGATTATATAACTTCAGGTTTTCATCAGGACAGTGATCTACTGGACCGGCGGAAACATTGCTTCAGTGTCCAGTCTGAATCTGGAGAAGATCTTTACTTTTCTGTGGAACTAGAGTCTGACCTAACACTATGGGAAAAAGCCTTCCAGACAGCGACTTTTTTAGAAGTTGAACGGATACAGGTGAGAACAACTGCCTGATCACCTGTCGGTACATTAACAAATTAGGTGCATATGAAATAATGATGCAATTTAAGAAATTTTCTGACCTTCTGCAGTTGGCAAATTATTATTGTTTGTGTAAGTAATTGCATAAGAAGCCTGTTGGTGTTCCCAAACAGCTTGTGATCTAACGTTCAGAAGAGATCACCTCAGATACAATCTTGGTGATACATATTTGTTAACTGAAGTTCACGGACAAATGCAGAAAAGCAGTCTATAGATGAGGGACAAAAAACAGCTGTTTAGATATCCTTACTGTCGTGCATGCTACTCTATTTGCTACTGGATTTCACAAGAGAACTTTGCAGGAATTAAGTTGTCCTTGTAATACCAGGAATGAGAGTACATTGAATGAAGTACTCACTGGATACAAGCAAGAACAAAATTGTACCTCAGATACACTATTCTTTCTTTACACATTTCTTGTTTCTTATGTATTTACTCAAATTTTGTCAGATGACAGCAGAGATGGATGACAATTACTAGTGAATTTTTATAGCAAAATAACCTAGGAGAGTGTTTAAAGATAACTTTGTTTCCCTCATATGACCAAAAAGTCATGACTTTTTTACTTTAAATAGGAGAAAAAAACACACACCACAATTATAACTTACCTAATCCTAGTTGTTATATTGATGTTCTAGTCATAAAATATACAAGTGGTTAGAACAGCTTTAGTTGATGTTACCATGAGTTATACACACCTCCAGGAGTTACATTAGCATATTAGCCTGTGCAAGTATTGACTCATGTATTTTCTGCATCATCCTGGGAATGCAAGTACTGACATGGTTTTATTCAGACAAATAGTTAGTTATATATTAGTCCTGGTCTGACCTATGAAGCACCACATGCAGACAGACCGAATTAGTATATGCTAATAATGATCCATTTTGGAAAGACTACAGTGCTGTCAGTTTTAATGTGTATTACCTTTGTTGGAGGAGCTGGAGACGATTCAACTTCCCTCTTTATTTCATACACTGTGTTACCTTTTACCGAAACTTTTCTTACCTTATATAAATAACTGCAACACAGTTTATAGAAGCATTACTGTGCCATCAATAGAAGAATATATGGCATTTTTCTTGAATAATTTTTTGCCCAGAAACCACTTCTTGTTTGTTCTATTCTAATATTGATTTATTCTATAGCATTCCTAGTTTTTCTTTTTTTCAAAATTGCTCTCATGCTTCCCCCAAATAATTTCCCTAATAATCTTAACCTCAGATTAGTCTTAACCATTGCACCTTTCTTTTCTCTCTCTTGAAGTTCAGAGTAGCAACTAAAAGCACAAAGTAATGATTTCCTGAGGCTGATAGTTTGATTGATTGATTAAAGCAAATCTGTAAAGGTGGATGATCGGATTTCTCATGATAGATTGTTATTGTGGAAATCATTGTTTCAACTTTTTTTCTATATTTTCTCTATCTCAATTAAAAAATAATATTTTTAATATAACTGAGTTTGACCTCCTCATTTTCCTTTCAACAACCATTTCTGCTTTCATCCAGCAATTTGAAGATGCAGATAAAACCTGGTGGTATAATTTGTCTCCAAGTTCTTTCACTGCACTGTGAGAAAAAAAAAAAAAAGCTGACAAGTTCAAAATTAAGGTATCACCTGTACAGTTTTACTAAAATTATGGCTTATTAAATCATATTCATATGATTAATTATATTTAATATGAATGATAATCTATCTGTGTGCAGGTTTTCCTTACAATAAAGTCTTATGATTTTCAAAATATAACTGCAATTTAAAACTACCTTTTAAAATTATTCAACTATTCCATAATCATACCAATAATAACAGCTACTCAGTGACTATAATTTGGCATTAACCTCCACAAGAGTTAATAAGGGCCCTATTCTGATCTAATTCCAAAAAACATATAATGAATTAAAGTATTTTTAAATGCCTCATTATAAATATATAATTTGAGTTTTTTTAGAAAAGAAAGGTATTACAGGAGGCATCATCAAGCTGATAATAATTTAAGAAAATGATATAATAATTTAGTGGTATTTTGATGTGTTAGTTGCTTTTTTGTTAGTTTTGTTTAGTGTAGTAAGTGATGTTAATCCATTTTCCTTATTAACTATTAAAAGAAAAAAAAATAGTTGAATTGAAGATCCTTTTTCCTTACTATCTCACAGCATCGTTGTATGAAGAATCTAAGAATGCTCTGGCTTGCACAACAATGTGCAATTATATATGACTGTCACATTCCCTTTGTGTTCCTACTACTTTAAGCTAAAATTTTCACCTCTTCCATTGTGACTTTTTTTATTGCTGTCCTTGTTTGTATTGTAGCTGTTTGTTCTCTAATATAAGGTTTATTGTGTAAGCAGTTTTGTGTTCCAGTACTTTAACATTTGCCTTCATTGAAGTTGAATCTGAGTTTGAAAGTCTGAATTAAGTCTTAGGTTTATAGTATGGTTTCCTTCAGCTTCAGAGATAGCTTAAACTAAGCTCTCAATGTATTGGTTTTTTCCATAATTTAAACTGTATGTATTGAGGAAATAAAATCTAAGGAACAGCTTTGGTTTGTCTCCTTCAGCCCCTGCCTGATCCATTGAATTATTCATAAGCCCAATTTAAGATTCTGTATTCTGTGAGAGAACAAAAAAATGAATGCTGGTATATTTTACTTCTTTTGGGAGGAGGATGCTTCAGTTCTGATAAAGTTTTCATGAGCTCTATGTGAGAAATCAGCAACCAAAGCCAAACATTCACAGTATATATAAATAAAAGTCACTTTTAAGGTTTTAAAATGCTTGTTAAGAATAAAAGAAATATTAAATTGTCCTGTATCTGGGGAACAATTTCTGCATTTTTTACTTTCTCAAAAGGTCGAATTAAACGACAATTTAAAGAAAATAAAGATGAGAAAAATCTTAACAAAGTTAATTAGTGTCTAAAAGTTCACACTCCTGCTCTGAGCTGTGACCCAGAAATATGTACAAGTGCATACAACACATGCATAAACCAAGGGACATTTTTCACCAAAGAAATTGAAATCTCACTGTCCCAAGAGCTTTTTGTTATTTTCACATTTTTGCTTCTCTGAATTATTTTGAACATCATGGAGTACATGATCCAAGGGCATAGAATGGTCTTACATATAAGTAAAGCATCAGCTGCTACTGGTGGTCTGCAGTTTCTTCCTACAAGTAACTACACTGAGCTGAACTACATGATACCTCATCAACTGCGCACTGCCTTTTGTATAAAGAACCTTCAGTCTAGGAAGTAGGTTGGTTTTTCAGTGCAGCCTTGAACCAAGACTATGTCCTGTTTCTCATAAATCTTAACTTCCCAATGAGGCTAATTAGACCAGGCACAGTGCCGTGCTTAAGCAAAGGTAGCTGTGCCAGCTCAGCACGGTGCTGCAGTACACACTGTAGGTTCACCTCTGGTGTTGAGGTGTGCAGTTAGATGAATTTAGATGCCTATATATATTTTAAATCTGATATACTGTCTCCTTGCCAAAATTTAATTTCTGGTAGAGGCTCTAAGTCTGTTCCAGATCTTGGGGGTTTACAAATTAAAATGTAGTTTGTATCTTGTTAGAAGTTTGCGATATAGTTCTACAAAACTGTAAATTTTTTACTTTGCATGCAAAACCTGAACATTCTTGCATATGTGAATTCATTAACTACAAGTAACTGAAATATATTACTTTACATATGTAGTTTATATATATATTTTACATATATACTTTATATATGTGCTGTAAACTTAACTTCAACCTGAAGTTCAAACCTAAAAGGTTTGATACTTTGGTATCCCAAGGAGGGGACTCCAAATTAACAATCTTCAAACAGTCACAGTGAGAGACAGATTCCAGGCAAATCTTCAAACTAGGCTCGAAAATCATTCTATAGATCCCTCTCCTGAAACACTTTGGTAACATATTAAAAATAGCATCCTGCAGTCCTCTGAAGAGTCATTAGGGTTCTCCTTCAAGAAGAACAAGGACTGGTTTGATGAAAACAATCAAGAGATCCAGGAATTGTTGAGGAAAAAGAGAACTGCTCGCCAAGCACACCTTGCACTGCCATCTTGTCTTGTAAGAAAAGCAGCCTTTCGTCTTGCATGCAAGAAGCTCCAACAGAAACTCGATGACATACAGAACAAGTGGTGGATCAGTCTGGCAGAAAAAATTCAATTAGGCACAGATATGGGTGATTACAGAGGATTCTATGAGGCCTTGAAAACAGCATATGGGCCTACATACCAGGTCCAAAGCCCTCTACTCAGCACAGATGACCGATAAAACCTCCATTCTGAATCGTTGGTCTGAACACTTTCAGACTCTTTTCGGTACCAGCTGTGTAGTTCAAGACTCAGCAATTAAGTACATTACACAGCAACCGGCGAAGAATGAATTGGATACTGCCCCTACTGTGGGAGAAACTCTTAAGACCATACAGCAGGTGAAAACTGGTAAGGCAGCTGGGGTTGATGGAATTCCACCTGAAGTCTGGAAACATGGAGGCCAAGCACTCCATGCTAAATTTCACGAGTTCATACTGCGTTGTTGGGAACTAGGCAAACTCCCATCAGATCTTTGTGATGCAGTCATCGTCACCTTGTATAAGAAGAAAGAAGATAAATCAGCCTGTTCAAATTACCGATGTATTACTCTGCTCTCCATTGCTGGCAAAATCCTGGCAAGAATACTTTTGAGCAGACTAATACCCACTATAGCAGAAGAACTTCTACCTGAAAGCCAATGTGGTTTCAGAACCAACAGGAGTACCACAGACATGGTATTTGTTCTCAGACAACTGCAAGAGAAGTGCAGGGAACAGAACAAAGATTTTTGTGTAACCTTTGTTGATCTCACCAAGGTTTTCAATACTGTAAGCAGAAAAGGCCTGTGGCAGATTTTGGAACGTTTAGGATGTCCCCCCAGGTTCCTTAAAATAATCATCTCACTTCATGAGGATCAGCATGGCCAAGTCAGATATGGTAATGCGCTTTCTGAGCCCTTTCTAATAACCTTCTGCTGCTTCCTTTGAGAACGCACGCAAGATCATTCTGAAGGATGAAAGACAACGCAGAAAGAATCATGTCTTGCCAATATCACCAAAGGAGTCTTTCTACTGTGCCTTTTGCAACCAGTCTTGTCTATCTCGTATTGGCCTTTTTAGCCACCAGCGTGTTTGCATTAAATATGGGTAGCGCCCTTCCCAGATCTTTGTTCACGAAGCCTAGCCATGATACTTTATATAGTATTCTTTTTTGTACTAATGAGATGGTGCCAAAGACAATATCCTCTTTTTCAGTAGCATTGATTTACAATCAAAGTTTACATATTCATAGCAGTTTTATGGTGTAGTTGATCTAAGAAAAAAAAATCCACTTTTATTTGCTAATATGAAAACTAGCTGTGAAGTTTTCAATTTTCCTTCATTGCAATGTGTATTTCAACTGTTAGAAGCTGTTAATGCACCTTTCAGCTTCTTATGTTCTGGGGAAGACCATTTAGAATCCAAGAGCCCACTCAAAGAATATATAAGTAAAGGCATTTGATTTATCCTTGATAATCAAAATGCCAAAAATAGTCATAGGTACTTTTGTAATACTAGCAGTTTAGTAACTCACATTGTTACTATATTTACAATTTATATTTTGATACTCTGACACATTATAGATCATGGAAGTCTTTGTTATCATTTCATATTTTTAGTGGCTACATCAATTTTTGAAGAATATACCTGTATTTAATTTAATCTGGAGGGTAAAATGTCTATAAAATAAGAATGGAATGGCTTCTTTAAAGAACTTGCAACAGATTTGGAAATGTTTTAATATTTTCTTACATATTTTGTGATGAAAAATACAAGTCTGTCATTTTGTACCTGAAGTCAGCCTTCAAGCACAGCTGTAGTTTTGATCCTGAATATTATTTTAATAGATGTCTCATGGCATGTGTTGAAGTGTGATGTTATGGAAATAAATAGATGCATATATATAAAAATTGTGGAATGAGAAAGTCTTTCAGGATTTCAAGGTTTATCATAGAAATATTTGAGATATATTGATCCACTAGCCGAAGAAAAAAAGGTATTTCATATGATTATATGAGTTGCTAAATTGTATAAAATACTACCTTTTCACTGAGATTTAGGACAACACAGAACCACAGGAAACAGCATACCAAAGAGATATTTTACATATGATTTATTTTTTTCTTAAAAAGCTAAAAGAAATATGTTAATGTTAAAATTTTCTGGGTATGAAAAATAAATAAGAGGGTTTGAGAATAATAAAACTTTGCTTTTAGTAATTTGCACTGATAAGTCACTGAGGCGATTCTGATTCAGTTTAATTTTTTCCCTAATAGCAGGAAATCCTCTTTTCACATTACTTAGATAACTTCATCACTCATCAAAATTCTTTGATTTGAAATACACTGACAATAAATGGATGTATTTACAGACAAATTACTCTTTTCTGATAATAAAATTGAGAAATATAAACATTAGAATAAAGACATAGAAATAATGGTTCTAGAAAGTTTTTTAAGAAATGTGTTCTGTGGTGACAACCTTCTCTGGTTTTTCTTTTACAGTGCAAGACGTATGCGTGTGTTTTGGAGAGTCATCTTATGGGACTTACCATTGACTTTAACACGGGCTTTGTTTGTTTTGATGCTGCCACAAAGGTAAAGTTCTAAGACTTGTTTCTATAACACTGTTATTATTGCTTGTTTTTTCTAACATTTTACGATAAGTAGTATCCTTAAAATGTCCTTCTCTTTGTTATAGAAATAGATCATCTCTTGTCAAATCTCTCATGCTTTAGTTTAAATTCAGGACTGATTTCTGATTATGTGAGAAGTTGTCTTCTTTATGTGCTTGTTATTGAAAAATCAATACCAATATCAATCTGAAACAACCATCAGATCTTGCTTCTTTAATTTCACATGAAAGCCCACACTGATTGAGTTTGATGTTTCTTTTGCTGATGTGTCTTTGGTTTTGAGAAGAAATAATCTTCTTGGCTTCAAGCTGATCTATGAGTTTTGAAAATAACCTTCCATTCTCTTCTGTTGTTTCATGAGTGGGAGTGTGTGCTATTATAGCAAATCCTAGTTTCTGTTTTAGATGTATTTTGTTCAGGTGTCTGTAAAAGTATAAATCAACCATAGCCTGTACGTCTCACCCATCAACTTTTCCCATCAGTCTCAAAAAAAGCTCAGTACAAGTGATGAAAGAGTTTGCTTTATTCAGTAAATAGTATGGCGTCAATTTCCAGATGACATTATTGCAAGTCCAAATCTCAGTAAAATCCTTGAGAGCCTGAGTATGTTGACAATTGTACTAATTGTTGGCAAGTACTAAAATGTAAGCAGGCTTTAGTGTTACTAGTTGACACTGCTGTTATGTGAGAATGTGAAATCTTTCTTCTAAGTTCCACTTCTCTTCAGTACCTGTTTTATTTTGAGATGCTGCAATATTGCCACCAGCAATTGCTGGAAATGCCCTTTTGACTACAGAATATGCTCTTATATTCTATCTTAAGTCAACCCTTCCCACCACATTACTCTGCTCATCCGAACCCTTTTATTCTTCCCACTCCATTCTGCTGTTTGTTTGCACAAAGAGTGGTAAATTTGGAATTCAAATACTTGTGTATGTATGTTTCTTTTTGTTATGCAAAAGACCTTGAATGATTCATCAGTGAAATGGGACTATCAGTTTAGAGGGTATTACACAAAAAATCATTGCAACAGAATTAAAATGCAGTGGCTCAGTAAAAAAAAGTGAACTTTTCCTCACCCTTCAATAATATTTTTATATATAATACCTATATAAAATATGCATATAATATAATATATATTGTGTGTTTGTGTATATATATATGTATAATATTATAGAATCATAGAATGGTTTGGGTTGGAAGGGATCTTAAAATTATCTAGTTTCAACTGCCCTGCCATAGGCAAGGGCACCTTCCACTAGACCAGGTTGCTCAAAGCCCCATCCAACCTGGCCTTGGACACTGCCAGGGATGAGACATCCACAACTTCTCTGGTCAATCTGTTCCAATGCCTCATCACCTTTACAATAAATTTCTTCTGCATATCTAACCTAAATTTCCACTCTTTCAGTTTGAACTCATCACTCCTTGTATTGTATGTATTGCATTGTATGTTAGAATAAAGTATAAATAGCACCATGAATTAAAAAAAAAGATGTTTTGTTAGGCATTAGGCAGTGTGCGGTAAGGATGGCAATTGCATTAGAAGAGAAGAGAAACAATACAGTAGAAAGAAATATAATCTTTTGCCAAGTGACTGCTAGAATTAAAATTGCCAAACAAGCCATAGGAAGAAAACTTGTCTAAAACCTGTTCTAAATGTGTCAACCACATTTTAATGAGTGCCTAAACGGGAAAAATATTACCTAGTCTCCATCATTTCATGGAAAGATGAAAGCTGCAATTCTCTTAGCCAAAAATTTATTCAGCTATCTTCATTATGATGACGACAGGTGTCAGTTGTGTCTATGCTGGAATGTTCTTCAACAATATTGCTAATCTGACATAAGCTGAGACATAAACTAGACATGTATAGTCACAAGGGCTAAAAGTATTGTTTCTTCACATAATGAAGGAGTTCATATGAAGCAGGAAATCAAAATCTATATTCCAAGAAAATTCAGAGAAAACAATGAAGAATGGAAAGCAGATTGCAGGACAAGAAAAACATGAATAAAATTTAAATTAAATTTTCTATATCTTATTAATATTTACATATACATTTATGGATTAAGACTGTACACAAATCTTAAGAAATGTCCCATGAATTAAGATACTCAGTATTAAAGACAAAGACATTATTTAAAATTTCATACTTTTCATGAAAAAGATACTTACATATAATTCTTTATAAGTTCTATGATTTTTTAAAATTTGTTTTTGAGAAATGAGTACAAACTATCATCTTTTCATTTTCAGCATTGGGGTATCCACAGCTTTTTGGAACAACCTCTTCCACTGACTCACCACTCTCATAATAAAAAATGTCTTATATCCAATCTAAACTCTACCTTCTTCTAGTTTAAAAGCATTGTCCCTTGTCCTGTCACTGTAGGCCTTGGTAAAAGCTCTTTCTCCATCTTTCATATAAACCCCCTTTGTTGAAAGGCAGCAACAAGATCTCCCTACAACCTTCTCTTCTGCATCCTGGATAGCCTCAGGTCTCCCAGCCTGTCTTCATAGGAGAGGTGCTTCAGCTCTCTGATCATCTTAGTACTCCTCCTCTTGTACATGTTCACTTCTGTTATTTTGGCACTGCTCATACCAATTTCAACCACTCTTTTTTGGGTAGAGCTTAACTCAAAGCCATATTCTATTGACTTCAGAGTTCAGTGTCAAACTGAACTGTTCATTTGATATGTTTCTCACTTCTCACAGAACAACATCGCAAATTCAAAATGTTTTAATGAATTCAGAGAAGGTCTTGAACAAGTACTTGGAGAACAGATCTAATGGATATAATTAAATGCTTTATTATTATTATTTATTTATGGCACTTACAGATTTTCCAGAACACAAAGATCTTCATAAAACAAACTAGTTTCTGAAACAAAGTAGTTTCTGGGGACACCTGAGAAGCCCTGTCTTATATTTTGTTGCAGTGGTGCCTTCAGTAAATCTTGAGGCAATTTATATTTTATCCTTAGCATTGTGCATATGGTATTTTAAGTTTTCTTTCTTAATCACTAGTGAGTTGACTGTGAACTGTCTTTAAAAGTTCATAATCACTAATAAGCTAAGTGAAGGAAGCCAAATTCTTTAACTCATGATTAACCGTTATTCAGCTATTCAAATATTCCAGTTATGTAAGCAATACAACAATATTTAAATTGTTTCTTTCTCTTATGTTTTAAGTAGACTAATAAGTTTTGTCCAACATGACTGAAAAAGTGCAGTCAAAATTTCACAAACGTTCTAAACCCCAAACTCACTTCCAATTTTCATGAACAAGTTTATAGAGGGTAATGGCTCTCATTATTCTTGTGGTTTCCAGACAAAAGCCATGCAACCCTGTGTGGCTTGTTTCCTTGCTTATTATCATTTAATCTTTATATAATACTTAACTATGTAAGTTAAAATAAGTGGTTAAAAACTGTCATCTGTGCTAAATGTATTTCAAGTTAAACACATCATAATTTGATAAAAACATTGTTTCTGTCTGTACAGATGGATGATAAATATGAGTACACAAAGTATTAAACTGAGTTATTCAGAACAAATCTGTACTGTGATGTGATTATAACAGCACCGACATAAATCATGACTGTTTCTGCTGCATATTCCCTTCTTCCTCTTATTTATTTTCTGGCTGATAGCTCTTAAAGTCAACAGTACTTCATCATTTAGAGCATTTGGTATGTTGCTCTATTGCTATTGTTGTTTATAACAAACCATTGTAATTTCCTGAAAGGAGAACAAACAGTTTTTAAAACTGCTTAGTTAAATCAGATTCTTCCAACATTTCAGTTCTTTTCCCTGAACCTTAACAAGTAGCAACAAGTATATTCATGTCCTTGTTCTTCTGTAGCACTTTCCAGAGCTAAGGTTTCTGTGCAAGATGTCGTCTCTTTTTATTACTAACAAGGTATGGTATGAAAGCAAACCATGACATAGAGGCCAAGCAGACATTGGCAAATGTCTGATTATATTTATTTGTGTGATGTAGTCCTTCATTTGCAGTAGGTATATACCTGGAGTCAAAAGGCCTCCTGCTTCCTTTGTTGGTATACGCGGAAGTTTAAATCTGATCAATAGGGAATTTCCCCACAGCATCTCTTCCACTAGGGATTTCTTCATAAAAATGTCCACCAGTTTTAATGCAATGTCATTTGCTTTATTTGTAATACAGGAAACTTCTCTTGTTTGTTTGTTTTTAAACTATGAAGATTCTAAAAATAAGCAAAACATTAGTTTGATCTAACTTGACCTTAGAAGTTATAAACCGAATTTTACCCTAGGTAATTTTTGCAGCATGGTGTATCAATCTCTACTGGAGAAAATATTTTTCCCAAGTCCTGCACAATTACAGCACAGCAATTCAGGTCCTAAATTTGTCTAACATTAGCTAGCAAATAGACATCAATGTTTTAATGAACAACTATAACTCTTGTGGATAATTTATGTTAGGTATGGACATGCACATATATTATGATAAGCATTTATAAATAAGGTTTTGCAGCCAACCTTAAGAATTAATATGGAAACTGCTGGATTATACTGATTAACAAGATATGTACAAAAATTTATCTAAATACTATTCTGAAAGTGATCCAATATGTAAAACTACTTACTTGAGTGGCATTCAATAACTTACTTTTAACATGCTCCTAACAAAAATAAATTGACTATACTTAAAGTGTATGGGTAAATATATGTAGACATGTATGTTATGCATGTTTCTGTTTATACTGACATATTCATTAGATTTTTTTTCTAAAATGTGCATATTTGCATCATAACTTATACGAATAATATATATGTTTGTGTAAATACACATTGCAATATACCTACCTGTGCAAAGTGCTATGACTGTACTCCATCACATTTACTGCTCATTAAACCAGCAGTCAAAAATATATATTTGTCAGAAGAGAAAAAAAATCATTCCTTGTAGGACTGAAA